ACCACGTCCTGCCTCCCCCCCCCCCCCCGCCGCCGCAGAAAGCCACTTCTGGCCTTCTGCCACCTGATTGGAACATTAGGTGCTTTAAAAGACCTGAGAAAGCATGATATTTGGGTCTGCAGGGAGCACTATTTTAGAAACAGCTGTTTTCATCTAAAGGATTCTTGAATGGGGAGCTCCCAGTATTTTTTTTAGTGACGCCCTTGGCAGCCATTTTGCGATTTCATGACAGCCACTTTCAGGGGCCATTTCCTGCAGGAGCGCAGTTCCGGCAGTAAAGAGCCCAGGGGGCGGGCACATGCGACAAGCCCCACCCCCTGCTCCCAGCAGCCCTCAGTCAGAGCAAGAAGCAGCCAGGTAAGTTGCAGAGCTCCCCCCGCCCCCCCAGTCCAAAACAGTCCAGTGGCACCTTTAAGACCAAGTTTTATTCAGGTACAAGCTCTCCCTACTCTGCCAGGACAGATCTGCACGTCCCCCCCCCCCATAGCTAGCAGTCCAAAACAGTCCAGTGGAGCCTGAGCGGTGGGTGGGGTGTTGCCTTCTGACACACTTCTGGTGATGTCAGGGGGTTTGTGGCATACGCAGATAAGTTATGCTCATGAGTTATGCTAATGAGCTCCTGCACCTCTTTTTCTATGAAGTGACCCCTGGCCACTTTCATGACAGCCATTTTGTGGCTGTGCTCATTATCCTTTCTCAACATTCCAAAACTGCCCACAGGCTTAACAAGCTTGGGGACGACTGGCCTAACATATTTGGCTTCTGGGGTTGCCATTAGTTGTGTGTGTGGGGGGGGGATGGAAGGTAGGGTTTCCAACTCGAGATTGGGAAACTACTGGAGATTTGTAGGTGGAGCCTGAGGAGGACAGGGACCTCAGTGGAGTACAGTGCCATTAGAGTCCACCCTCTAACACATCCATTTTCTCCAGGGGGACTGATCTCTGTAGTCTGGAGAGGAGCTGTAACTCCAGGGAATCCCCTGGTCCTACCTGGAGGCTGGCATCCCTATGGCTCCAGTGACTCCTGGGGAAAGAAGGGCAAAGAATTCAAACTGGGCACAGAAACCCATGTGCCCTGGTATCTCATCAGGCCTAATCCCTCATAGCCTTTTAAGAGTTCATCCCTGCATATTGTGTGTGTGTGTGTGTGTATCTTAAAAGCTGTGCGTGCCTCTTGAAGCGCTCTGTGCTCGTAGCCTCCACTACTTCCCGGGGCAGTGAATTCCATGAGTTAATTACTCTTTGGGTGAAGGAGATCTTCCTTTTATCTCTTCTAAGCCTAGTGCTCATTAATTTAATTGATTGCCCACGAGCCCCTGCATTGCGAGAAGTGGGTGGGGGGGAAGGGCTTCTTTCTCTACTTTCTCTATCCATTTGTACCCTGCCTTTCTCCTCAGTGGGAGCAGGGGTCATTTCGTAGAAAAAGAGGTGCAGGAGCTCATTAGCATAACTCATTAGAATGACTCATTTGCATATGCCACACCCCCTGACATCACCGGAAGTGTGTCAGAACTTCAGAAGGCAACACCCGCTGCTCCGGCTCCACTGGACTGTTTTGGATTGCTAGCTATTGGGGAGGGGGGGGAACGTGCAGATCTGTCCTCGCAGAGGAGGGAGAGCTTGTACCTGAATAAAACTTGGTCTTAAAGGTGCCACTGAACTGTTTTGGGCCGGGGGGGCGGGGGGTGGAGCTCTGCAACTTACCTGGCTGCTTCTTGCTCTGACTGAGGGCTGCTGGGAGCAGGGGGTGGGGCTTGTTGCACATGCCCACCCCCTGGTGTCTTTACTGCCGGAGCTCCGCTCCTGTGCGCTCCTGCAGGAAATGACCCCTGAGTGGGAGGGGACCCAAAGCAGCTTACATGGTTCGCCGCTCCTCCATTTTATGCTCACAACAACCCTAGGAGGTAGATTAGGCTGAGAGAATGTGACTAGCTGAAAGGTCACCCAGCTAGCTTCCAGGGCACATTCCTGAGGCAGATCTACACAACCGATGCTAATATTGTGGACAAACGAATGTAATGCACACTTTACAACAACCTTGAAAGGTAGGTCAGTATTACCATCCCCCATTGCAAATGAAACTAGGAAAGAGTGGTGAGCCTAAGGCCACCTGAATAGGGTTACCAGGTCTGGACCTGGAGACTTTGGGGGTGGATCCAGGAGAGGGTGCGGTTTGGCGATGGGCCTCAGCATCAATGTTCCCTCTAAGCTATGGAGCTCTGTGAGCAAAAATTCTACTTTGTGAGCTACTGGGGTTAAAGTTGTGAGTGGGTGATTTGGCTGCTGCATAAATTAGTTTGCTCTGGAGCCCTCCTTCCTGAGCCAAGACAAAAATGTGTGAGCCAGAGGCTAAAAACCTGTGAGCTAGCTCACACTAACTCAGCTTAGAGGGAACACTGTTCAGCATGGTGTGATGCCATATAGAGTCCACCCTTCAAAGCAGCCATTTTCTCCAGGGGAGCTGATCTCTGTCCGCTGGAGATCCACTGTAAAAGCGGGAGATCTCCAGGCCCCGCCTGGAGGCTGGCAACCCTACGCCTGAGGGATTCATGGTAATATCTGAACCAGGGGTTTCCTGCCTCCACAGTTTAGCCTCTTAACAGCCACGGTACCCTTCAAAGCCTTTATCAAAAGGCGGATCCATTTTCTCCACAGACACGTCGACTGTTTCCCAGGAAATAGGATCCTTTGAATATCAGCCCGTGACTAAAATTTGCTTGGATGGAGACCTCTGGACAAGTCTGGTCTCTGCTACGTTACTATCCGAGGCCTACTTAAAAACGGGGGGGGGGGGGAATTTATGTGAAAAACACACCCACCCTTTCTGTCTCTAGGGCCCTCCCTCTTCTGGCCTGTCACTGTGCCTCACTCTTGCATTTTCAGCCTCCTACGGAAAAAGGACTGTTCCTGGAGCTTGCCAACTTGGGAGGGAAATCCTGACTGCTGCCGGGGCTCTGCTTAAGGTAATGGAAGACACCTCCCCAAAGACCACAAAGACTCTGGGGCCTGGGTGACAGTAACAACTCTATTTCCAAAGCCTTGGTGTGGGCAGGAGGAAAACACGACACTCCAGATGCCAGCCAGATGCCTCTGGCGTGGGCAGGCACACCCTGGAGAATGCCAGGAAACCTCAGATTGGTTTGGGACTCGGCCCTCCTGTTTCCCCCATTCTTCAAAGAAATCTGTGGGGAAAGCTTTCTCTCCCCCCCCTTCCCCGCTTCCTAGATAATTGAAGCCATGTGTAAGGGAATTGGGGGCGACCCAGACAGACGGAGGGAGGCAGGTGGGCTGTGATAACGGCAGGATCCTTCTTGGCAAGCAGGTCTGTGAAGAATTACCCGGCTGTTGTTGGGAGAGGGGAAGAGTACAAATGTCAAGGCATTTGTGTCTCGGGAATGAGAAAGTGGGTCAGCCGGGGAGAGTCAGGCTGGTCGGAGACTCAGGAGGAGAAAGCGGAGATCTTAAAAAGAAAACAGAACAAGATACAGAGCAGAGTGATGTCGGGAAGACGGTACGCGATTCTGTTGCGGGGGCTCGTCACCGTGGCTCGGAAGGTTTTGACCCTCAGGGCGTGGGACGGGCTGCTCTTGCCAGGTCTTGGAGGCTAAGCAGTAGGGTTGCCAAGTTCCATGTGGGACCTGGAGATCTCCTGGAGCTACAAACAATCTCCACGCGACAAAACCCAGTCCCCCTGGAGGAAATGGCTGCTACGGAAGGTGGAGTCTACGGCAATATACCCCGCTGAGGTCCCTCCCCTCTTGAAACCCCGCCCACCCCAGGCTCCACCCCTAAAATCTCCAGGTATTTCCCAACCCAGAGCTGGCAACCCTACTAAGCAGGGTGGGGACCAGTGTTCCCTCTAAGCTGAGTTAGTGTGAGCTAGCTCACAGTTTTTCAGCCTCCGGCTCACAGATTTTAGTCTTCGCTCAGGAAGGATGACTCCAGAGCCAACTAATTTATGCAGTAACCAAATCGCTTGCTCACAAATTTCATGCCAGTAGCTCACAGAGTAGAATTTTTGCTCACAAGATTCCACAGACTCCTTGGCCCAAGGCAGACTCTGCAGAGGAAGGCAGCGGCAAACCGCCTCTGCTTCTCATTTGCCTTGAAAGCCTCTTGCTGGGGTCACCGATAAATTGTGACTTGACGGGATATTTGGTTCATGTTGGGATTGGGATGTTTGGCTAACATAGCAGCGTTTGCCCCATCACAGAAGCAGGATACTGAGTGCAGTAAATAAACCTCCCAAGATGTATATTGCAAAGGCGGCAAACTTACATTTATTCAAGTAGATCCACTTCACATTCAGGTTGCAGTCCAGAGCAGAGGAAGAAGCCTTATCGAAAGAGGACTTCCCCTATCACAAATGGACAGCTTGTCCGGCATCATGTGTGTGGGAGTACGAGGGCATTGCTTCTACAGGAGAGACCTGCAGAGACGTGTGTCTCCGTGGAAGTCCATGTGCATAGAGAGGAACAGAGAGAGGAGAAAGGGCGAAGAGGGGAGAGGTCAGAGGCAATGTTCCCTCTAAGCTGTGGAGTCTTGTGAGCAAAAATCCTACTTTGTGAGCTACTGACATTAAAGTTGTGAGCGAGCGATTTGGCTGCTGCATCGATTAGCTTGCTCTGGAGCCATCCCTCCTGAGCGAAGACAAAAATATGTGAGCCATTGTATAACTTGTAAAATTTTAGAACTGAATCTTGGATTAAGACCAGAAATTTATTTGTTAAATGTGTTACCAGATGGATATAACTGTAAAGATGCATATTTAATGACGTATATCATAACGGCTGCTAGAATGTTGGTGGCAACAAACTGGAAGTTAGAAAAATTGCCCTCTAAAATAGACCTAACCTTAAAATTACTAGAACTGGCGCAAATGGATGATCTGAACTTAATACTACAGGGGAGGGATAATATGGTACAGACCAATAGATGGAAAAGGGTTTATAACTGGATAAAAAGTACGGAGGAATGAAAGACTCTAGAAATATATGCAATCTGTGATGATGTAAAGTTCAATGAAATGTAAAATAAAATATATGACAAAAAAATAAAAAATATGTGAGCCAGAGGCTAAAAAACTGTGATCTAGCTCACACTAACTCAGCTTAGAGGGAACAGTGGTCAGAGGGCAGCTCCCAGGTTAAGACAAAGAGAGGCATCCCATTCAAGGATATTAACACCTATACACAATGTCCAGGCATGCTGCGTTGCTCACTCAGTCACAGAGTACAGTTGGGAAGCCTGAGGCTCAGAGCGTGCGAGATTAGATCTCCGGCTCAAGTGATTTTCGTTCCCGGTGTTGAAACACTTCAGTCCCTGTGTTGAAACCGTTAATTCCCCAACTGTCGGGTCCTGACTCCCTGTAGAACTGCCTTTTGGAAGCACCAGTTTATTGTGCCTGCACGGACAGCAAGGGCTTCATGTCTTCTTCGGCCTCTTTTCCCAAGCGTGCCCAGAGAAGTTGCAGCAGGTGAGACAAAGGAATTCAGCAGTGGAGAGGATTCCTCCGTGGCTCTAACCTGTGCCTCGTTCTGCACTATAGTACGCCTCCGGGAGATCAGCTTGTGTTTCCTGTCCTCCCACCACCCACCACCCCGCTCTCTTGCTCTGCCCACGATCTTGACCTTGAAACCAGTGAGGTCATATGTCTGGCTCCCTCCGTTCTTATCATGTGCCTCTGATGCTGCATCGTTTCATGTCACATGCTTGTAGCTCATGGGGTCCCATGCTCAGCGGGTTCCTGGTCGATAAAGGTTGTTCCCAGGCCCGTAGCTAACGTGGGGCCTGGCCTCCCTAGCATTTCTTCTGGGCCCCCTCTCTCCCAGGCCAGTCCCAAATTGAATTAATGTGATTAACTTTTATTTAATTAGCTGAGACCACCCCAGGCCCCCCACCCAATAATCCCTAGCTACGGGGCTGGTTGTTCCCCTAATGAATTTGTAACAGAGGGGCGTTCCAACCAGAGGTGTCCTAGGTTCACTGGTCCATGAGCTCCCCTTAGACAGTGCAAGGGCTGTAGGTGGTTTGAAATAGCTGGCAGGTAGGGAAGATGGCTCAGCTAGGCTGCAGGGGAGGAGGAAGAGGGCATTTAACTCCTCAACTGGAAGGTGTTGTTTGGGAGACTTGCATTTCTGCCCCAGAAAGCAGGGAATGTAGTTAATCCAGATCTGGACCAACTGCATCCCATTTATGAATCTCAGATGACTCACTTTGAATCCAAACTGACTTAAGCCAGATTGGGGGATCCTTTTCTGATGTTGGAGCTGCGGTGGCTCAAGTGGTTAAGATGCTGAACTGCAGGCTGTGGAAGGTCAGTAGTTCAGCAGCTCGAGACCTGGTTGCTGCATGACGGAGTGAGCTCCCGTCTCTAGTTCCAGCTCCTGCCAACCTAGCAGTTCGAAAGCAAGAAATTGCAAGTAGATAAATAGGTACCACTTCGGTGGGAAGGTAACAGCGTTCCGTGCGCCTTGGTGTTTAGTCATGCCGGCCACATGACCACAGAAACGTCTTCAGACAGCGCTGGCTCCTCGGCTTTGAAACGGAGATGAGCCCCACAACCCTAGAGTCAAACTCGACTGGCTTTCGAGCAAGGGAACCTTTACTTTACTTTACTTTCTGATGTTACTGCGATGTTTCTGGTCACACTGTGCTTTCAGCTTCCGTTTCTCCACGCTGTCTTTAAGTCCCCTATTCCAGGGGGCAGCATGGGAGAGGGGGAGGGACAGGGGGAGGAGATACATGCCTGACAGGCGAGCTGTCCAACTGCGATACTTGGCCCATGTGTGAGCAGCACACCGTTGTCCCTGATGGGCCTTTCTGCGGACAGCGTTTCCCCCATCCCTATGGCAGGAAAGGCTGTGGGGTTGTAGGAGGGGGCAGGCAGAGAGCCGGAGAGTGGTTGTCTTGTGCTCGGTTCTCTCCACACACACCCACTCACAAGAGGCAGCCTTCCTTCTCTGCGGGGGGGGGGGGAGTAAAAATATTTTTTTAAAAAAGGAACACATAAACATCGAGGGTCAGACAAGAAACAAAAAACCGTTGATAAAGAATCAGATCTCGCTACAGGGGAGATCTGAGAATTCTCTATTAATTTAAAAGCAGTGTGGGGGAGGGGGTTGCTCAATTATGTATGGATTAGTCACATAAAGTGAGTGGGGGTGTATTCTCTCTCTCTCTCTCTCTCTCTCTCTCTCTCTCTCTCAAAAATAAAGTGTGAGGACAAAGGAAATTAAAGCCTGAAGTTCCCCTTCCCTCATCTTTTGCGCACAACAACAGGCACTGTTAAGTTTTCTCCAAGCAAGCTCACCAGATCCTCCATAGGTCTTGGGGAGTAAATTAAGTCAGACATGGGGTGGGGGGGGGGGGGGAACACATGCTGAAATTAACGACTGTAACACAGGATTCCTGTGTGCAGGCGGGTTTGCTGCTGCCTCTGAACCTTTTTGTTTGAAAACAGGCCCTCTGACCTCTACCCACATGGGGGTCGGACTCGGCAGTGGGAAAGGACAGATTGAGAGCTTGTTGGCATGTCTTTCGGTGCCCACCCCGTAAGGGAGAATTTCAGTACCCTGAGAAATAGGGGCTCCTGTCTGCAAGTTGGCAGGGATGATCCCTTTGAGAGAAGCTTACAATTTCAGATAATTTCCTCCTAATTGCATGGGGTAAAAAGACACTACACACACACACACACACACACAAATGTGTTGTGCTTTGCATTTCCTCTAGAATCGAGTGGCCTTCTCTTGGGCAGAAATCTGTCAAAGTGAATCCTTTGGGTGAAAGGGTCACACACACCCCAGAGATTTTTTATCTGACTTGGGCTTGTGTGTGTAAAGCTGAAGGTGGAAAGTGTGTCCCATTGAGATCAGCATAAATACCCACTCAACTGTTTAATGAACACTCATTTACTGCAAGAGAAAAGAATCCAAACAGAACTGTTGACACCAAAAGCCAAATCTGAACCCAGGTGAAACATTTGTACATCCCTATTCCAAATTCTGGTCCAAAATAGAAACAGCCTGGTGACTGTGATTCAGTCGTGTGGGAAAGCCATTCTGCACATGCTCCAAAGCACTCTGATCCACTCAAATTAGCTGCATGTGTTTCAGAACGAAAGCCTTGCAAACGTAACCCTGGGCTGGGAAGGTGGCCTAGTGCCAAACTGAAGCTGTAAAAAAATGCCAGGGGACAGTAAAGATGGTGGGCCTGCTCTCACAAACAGCAAATGAGCTGGTAGGATGCTGCTTTGCCCTTGGCTGGGCCGCTGCCTGTCTAGGTTGTCCCTGAATGTCTAAGTGAAAGGGAAGAGGCTATCCGGCACAGAGAGATCTTCCCCAGAACCTGCTCCCGGAGACAGCCAGAGATGCCAGTGACTGAACCTGGGACCATGATGACTGTCCCTCCCACTCAACTGTCCCTGCACATAGAAAACTAGGATGTCAAGGAGCAGGCAAGGCAATGGACAACTGATTTTCAGGGTGCAGGGGCATGCATATATGAGCCATCCCGCCGCCACCTACAGACTGAAGGAGTGCAGCCCAAGGGAAATGGTAAGAATTAGGCCAGTGTTAGGAAATCCTGGAGAGACAGGAGGTGGTTGGGGTGGTTCTGGACTTCTGGAACAGGGCACAGCACGGAAACAGTTAATGCTCTGAATGGGGTTTTATGTCAGCTTCATACCGTAGCTTAAGTGGGCAGGGAGGGGCTCTTAAAACAACAGTAATTTATTGTCCATGTTCAGTCCAACGTTCTGTGCAGACAAAGACACCAAGCTGCCAATCAATATCTGCCTTCTGCTGGTGTTTACCCTTGCTCCAGTCGCATTTTGGAACACTGCAGCAGCTCTGCCCTGCAGATGGATGCATTTCCACCGCTAGCGTAGCCTGGAATCCAGCATCTCATCCCCCACCTCACCTCCTTCCCTGGAAGACAGGTACAACTTGCCTCTGTTTCAATTAAAGGCTGATTTTTGAAAAACAAATGGCGTGTGGGTCTGCTTCTTCCCAACACCCTCGGCTATGAAAATCCTGCACATTAATTTGAAATGCATGGATGTAGGCTGAGCTTTCCCCCCGTATTTATAGCAGGCATTTCCACAGTTGATCCATGGCTATGAAAATCGTTCTGGGACTCAGCTGAGATCACGCTCTATGAATTAAAGAATCGCTTCTTTGAATGAACAAGTAATGTTGATCTGGGGGAATAAATGCCAACCCAAATGGAACTTGACAGATGCCCACAAAACAAAAATCAAACTCTCTACAGAATCCTGGGGGGGGGGTTGCATCTCGTCAGGTGGTATTTCAGATGTCGCAGGGAGGTGGGACAAGGGAGGCGGCATAACTGCAGGGCAGAGTACGTGCTTTGCATGCAATGAGGTCCTGGATTCAGGTTCCAGCATCTCTATTTGAGCCAGTGACAGCGTTGCACTAGGACCCAGGAAGCTTGGGTTCAAACCCCCACCCTGGCACTGCATATAGATCCTGGAGTGAAGTGACAGCTCATATTAAGTCCTGGATAAACCTGGTTGGCTCAAGTGGTTAAGACGCTAAACTGCCGGCTGTGGAAGGTCGGTAGTTCAGCAGTTCGAGACCCGGGTGTGCCTCATGACGGAGTGAGCTCCCGTCTCTAGTTCCAGCTCCTGCCAACCTAGCAGTTCGAAAGCAAGAAATTGCAAGTAGATAAATAGGTACCACTTTGGTGGGAAGGTAACAGCGTTCCTTGCGCCTTGGCGTTTAGTCATGCCGGCCACATGACCACAGAAACATCTTCGGACAGCGCTGGCTCTTCGGCTTTGAAACGGAGATGAGCACCGCAACCCTAGAATCGGATTCGACTGGCTTTCGAGCAAGGGAACCTTTACCTTTTAAACCTGGTTGGACCACGGTCCATCTAGTGATAGGAGTGTGGATGAACGAGGGCTGTGGCTCCATGGTGGCATCTCTGCTTGGCATGCCAAAGACACCACTTGAATCTCTAGCTCAGTGGATCAGGTAACAGGTGATGTGAAAGACCTTCACCCGAGAGCTGGAGGAGATAAGAACTGAGCTTGATACACGAATGGTGATTCAGCATAAGGTACCTTCATACGTTCCTGTGTTCAATCCTCGACTCTTGATTATGTGGCCCCTGTTTCTCTTCCTAGGGCGATTCCAGCACAGCAGCGAAGAAGCTCCCCAGGTTGAGGGACCCCATCTGATCCATAATGCCCAGACTGCCCCTCTTCCTAGCTGCCTGCCTGCCTTTCCTCTCCCTCCTCCCACGAAGAGCCTCCGCCCACTGTCAACTGTTCCCCAAGTCTACCTGTGAGCAGCACTCTGCCTTTGTGCCAGGACATAACTTGGCCGGGGAGGGGATCGATATCACCACGCTGCAAAGGAAGGGGGCCTATTTGGTGGACACCAGCCAATGGCTGGACCCAAACGGGACGTGCGTTCTCTGCCGGAACCCCCTGATGGACGGGCAGCTGCAGCGACTTCCTCTGGCCGGTGCGGACTGGCGGGTCCATGTCGCGTGCCACCGCCAAGTGAGCAGTTCCGTGGAGCACTCGGATGTGGACGTGGCAAAAGCGCTGGCCGGGGAGGTGAAGAACAACTGGAAAATGGAGCTGAATTTGCCCAAGGAGGTGGAGTCCATCGCCAAGGGCCAGGTGGTTTTAGTTGGGGCTCGCTCTCAGATGGTCGTTTATGCACACGAGAAAGCCCAGCAGGACAGGTACAGCTTCGTGAGGCATGAAGTCTCCTGTCAATATTACCGGTAAGTTTGGTTTTATGGCAGCCCGGCAGATGCATGATGGGAAATGGGGTTAACAATAAGTGACGGCTCTTTTTTATAGAAAAAGCCCAGCAGGAACTCATTAGTATAATAGGCCATACCCAACAGCAGCATTCACATATTAGGCCACACCCCCATGTTACCAGAAGTGTGGTAATCCAGCCACACCCACCTTTTGCTTCTTATTCGTTTTACCTTGTTTGTTGACAAAACCCAGGGCTTTTTTTTTTTAGCAGGAACTCCTTTGCATGTTAGGCCACACACCCCTTATTGTAGCCAATCCTAATGAGTTTCTGCTGTTGGGTGTGGCTTATTATGCTAATGAGTTCCTGCTGGGCGTGGCCAACTTGGGAGCCAGCCAGGACTCCGTTCCTGTGCGTTCCTGCCCAAAAATAGCCCTGGGAGTGCTGGATGTGGTTATGGGTTTTGGGCTCACCTCTGTCTTAAATTTAGGCAAGTTCAACTTCTGGGTGCGGGTATTAAAAAGAAGAATGTGCAAGACCCATCATTCCTGCATAGATGGTCTCCTGGAATTCCCTGCTGTGTTGTTGATTTTACTCTGATTCAGCCTTTATTCTCTGGCACAAGGCGTTGAAGGAATGCAGACCCTCTGGTTGGTCTCTAATCTTCTGCCTTTCCTGTCTTTTCCTTGAGCAGGCTCAGACTCCTCCCAAGGCCCACCCTGCTGTCCCCCCACTTCTCCCAGGCTGTACGGAACCTGCCCAGCAAACACGACCCCGAGGAGTACCAGCATTTCATCGACACCTACGGCACCCACTACATCAGCCAAGCACAGCTCGGGGGGCGCGTGCGCAACCTGCTGGCCGTGCGGACTTGCGGGGCGACCTTGGCGGGTTTGACGGCGTCCGACATCAAGGACTGCCTGACCTTGGAAGCCTCTCTAGGCCCCGACTGGATGTCCCATTCGCTGAGCATCAAATGCCACGAGCTTCAGAGGAACCAAGCCAAAGGGATGTTCTGGGAGGCCTACGGCCAGCGGCGCACTGAGGTGGTGGGAGGGAACGGCCAGGTGGAGCTGCTGTTTGCGGAACCGGGGGAAATCCTGCAGTTCTCAGAATGGATCGAGAACCTCAAAACGAGTCCTGGGGTAGTTTCATACTCCCTCCTGCCAGTCCATACCTTGGTGGATCGAGGAGACCCCAGGAGGGAAATGCTGAGGGCAGCCGTGAGGGACTACATAGCCCAGAGGGCCCTCTGGAGGAACTGCACACAACAGTGCCCCGGCCGGAGCTACGCTAGCTCAAGGGACCCTTGCGTGTGCATGTGTGAGCCCGACGCCATCACCGACACCGGGTGCTGTGCCCGGGAGCGGGGTCTCGCCCGCTTACGCGTCCACATCCAGAATGGATCTGGCCTGTGGGCCGACCACTTCTCTGCCACGGACGCCTACGTCAAAGTCCTCTTCCAAGGACGGGAAATGCGGACGGGCTTCATCAAGAACAACAACCAGCCTTGGTGGTCGGAAACCCTGGACTTTGGGCCCATCAAACTGACGGGCCTCAACTACATTGAAGTGCAGGTCTGGGACAAGGATCTCTGGCACGACGACCTCCTGGCAACCTGCTACGAGGGTCTGGTGACCGGGGGGGAAGTCTGGAAAAAATGTTATCCGGCTCGTGGACTTGTAGAGTATTATTATGTGTTAGAGTGTGGACCTTCTCTGGGTGGCAACAGCTGCCATGACTATGTCCCCCAGAAGCAACATTGACTACCCACTGCTACCCAATAGCTCAGTGCCCCCCCTCCAAGCAAGACTAAAAAAAGCACTTTCTTATACTTAATGAGACTACTTCAATATTCTGCATAAGAGCTATATAGAAAGAGCGCAGTCCCTGGATTAGGCTTAATTGGGCAGAACCTTAATGAAACGGTTGTTCAAGGCTCCAGGGAGACCCTGCCACTGTGGCACAGCCAAAAGGATGGTATCGTCTCTATATTACAACTTCAAACTAGTTTTACACTGCCGTGATTCCCACTCATGAATCTCTGAGACCTAGAGTTTCCTAATCTCCGAGACCTAGAGCTTCCTAGAGCCAGTTTGGTGTAGTGGTTAGGAGCGTGGACTCTAATCTGGGAGAACCGGGTTTGATTCCCCACTTTGCCACATGCAGCTGCTGGTGTGACCTTGGGTCAGTCACAACTTCTCTCACGGTTCTCTCAGAGCTCTCTCAGCCCCACCTACCTCACAGGGTGGCTGTTGTGGGAAGAGGAAGGGAAGGAGACTGTAAACTGCTCTGGGACACCAAGTGAAGGGCGGGGTATAAAGCCCATCTCTTCTTCTTATAACAACAAAGTCCCTCACAAAACCGTTCCCCAGAGATCTTATGCAGGACACATTGGCATGCCTTTATTATATTTCCACGTGTGTGTGAAACACACGCAGCTACTTCCAAGCATTGGTTTGGGTCCAGCACAAAATTGCCACTGGCGCTAGATCTCTTGTTCAAGCAGAAACTCAAGAAAAAGACCCCAGTTGCTTGCACTCAATCGAAATTGTCGCAGCACCAGTTGGCCTGACTCCCTCTCCAGGACCATGGGGAATGGTAGTTTGGGGAGAAAGTCAGTGCCCAGTATTATGAGGACTCTCCAGCACCTCTGCCAAGTTATGATCAAGTTTAAAGCTGTTAAGTGTCGCAGCAGGTGAGAGAGTTTCAGGTGGGCAGCCATGCTGGTCTGCAATAGAAGAGCAAGATATATTTTTTTTAAACACCCGGAGGGATATTTTTAATTTTGCAATAGACTACAACCACAAAGAAAATATTAGGGAGGGAACTACAACTAGGGATAAAGGAAAGATAACCACACTATGCTAAAACCCCAAAAGGAGGAGATCTTATCCCTGTTAGTGTGTTAGTACCCAAAGTGTTAATATCACAATATACTTGTAGAGTTCTTATTTATCACCGCTTCAAATGTGTTAATATGTTAGTTGTTATGAGAGAACTTTCTGATCATGTTCTCGTTCTTTGCTTTAAAAGGCCATTTTCTGAGTCCTTCTGCCTTCACTTCGGCTTTCTGTCTCTAAAATCGTATACAGCTCTGGCGGGACCGGCACCCGTTTCTGCAGCAGAGTCCTCTTCCGTTCCAGAGGTAGCAGAGTCACTAGATTCCGTTTCTTCCACCTTAGACTCTTCCTCTGTCCCCAGCTGAGCAAGATTTGTGTCCAGTATCACCTTAGAGACCAATAAGATTCCCAGAGCATAAGCTTCTGGGAGTCAAAACTCTTTTTGTCAGATTCCTCAGTAGCTGAGCTAGATATCCGTGGTTCTTTTCTCTGCCACAAAGCCACAAGGTACCCTTCGAGGTTGCTGAGACAATGCCAGTGCTCTAAAGTAATATATAAATGCTAAATTTTAGACAGATGTGTTTTTTTTTGTATTTTTGCTTTGTGTGTGTGTGTGTGTGTCCATGTGCCTGGAAGTCATGGTGACCTCAGGCAACTCCTATGGGGCATGGAGAACATTCAGAGAAATGGCTTGACAGCCTGCTTCTGGCCTCCTGGCCCTGGTATTACCTGGAGGTCTCCCATCCAAATACTTGCCTGTTTAGCTTCCGAGATTGGGCTTGCCTGGGCTATCCGGGTCAGGGCGCTAGACAGACGTTTCCGAACAGACAGAACCTCAGCTCATGCTGCACAGGGCTCCCGGAACTTATATAGGGCATACCAGCTTGTGAGTTAAGCGGGTGTTAAGTCTTTATAGATCAGTTGTAGACAATCAAGGTATTCCAAAATCTTCCGAACTCTTAGGAAGTTGGGGTCCAGCTCTACAGTCCATTCCCAACAGACTTTTGGTGATGTCCATGGCATCACGGGAAAGACACCAGTTCACTGCTGGGGCTCACCCTGTTACTTTACCAGCAATGTCTGTATGCCTCAACAACAATTTGTATGCAATTTACTCAGTACAACGAAATGCTCAATGCTTTGTACCGTACTTGCTTATAAAACCATGCGGTGATCACAGCACATAACAAGAGTCAGTGTTATTCACAAGAGGGTCAAATGTACCTTGACTCCAGTTTTCAGGTGTTGGTACGAGCCTTGACATGGTGATGGGTATAAAATCTCTGTGATCATGTACTGGTAGAATAAACAAGGAGTGATAAACACACTGACTTACGCTCCAAGCAAGGATACCCCCGGACAAGCAAGGCTTCCTGAGGTGTGGTTTAGAACATTCCTGCCTTCTTATTGCTCTACATATCTACCTATAAAGGTAGGGGAACAGAAGAACAGATCACCTAGAAAGGTGGGTAGCACTTAAAAGCATGACTCACACTATCAACGAGGTGATAAAGACCTGGGTGATAAGCTTTGTAAGTTCCCCTCCACTAACAGATGGGACTGCTTTAAATCCCTGCAGACAAAAGGAGATTTGCCGTTAACCTTTTGACATATCCCAATGCCCAACTGGTTTCAGTATTTATCACTGGATAATCATGATTGCAGGATGAGGCCTAAAGGGGGCTGGTGGTGGGACTTTTACACAGCCCTATCTAGATCTAGACGGGGACGGCAAAGGATGAGATGGTTAGACAGTGTCATAGAACATGAAGTTGAGCAAACTTCAGAGGACGGCGGAAGACCGGAAGGCCTGGCGTGATCTGGTCCATGGGGTCGCGAAGAGTCGGACTCAACTGTGCGACTGAACAACAACAACAACAAATCTAGATCCCCACATCACTGTTACAAGACACCTTTTCACAAACTGCTATTGACTAAGGTTATGGCTGGGATACAAGGTTATACTTAAAAACGTGTATAAGTTAAGCATGATTAATAAGGTTGTCCTGAAGTTTAGGGCGTTACGTTCAACTGGGAAAATGTTGAGCGCCTCATTGCACCTTCTTTGAAGTCACTACAGCCAAATCTCGCCCACAGCTATCATAATGCAGACCATGAAGTCCACATCACAGTTCAGTCCCCCCACATCTTTCCCGTTAAGAGCGACCGAGGCAGGAAGTGGGGTGAAGATACAGAAGCAACATGCGTCAGAAGACCTGCGAGTGGAAGAAACACCCTGTTCCAGAAACCCAGCATAGGTGGTGGGGAGGTGACAAGAGAAACCACGCGTTTCTTTTCATCAGTAACCTCTGCTTTCATAAAACTTCACAGGGAAACAGCTACACATTTTCTCAGGATGGGAAAGCTTCACACCCTCCCATTTCCACGTGTTGCATCTCTGTGCACGGGACGGGGCATTTTCCCCAGCCCGACTGGATGGGTGTGTAGTTCCCCCTCTGTCTCTCTGTGTGGGGGGGGCATGTGGGGTTTATTTTTCAGGGAAACCCCCACCCCAACTTTGGGTGTTCAGATGAACAGCGGTCTCCAGAGGAACCACTCCACTAGTCTCCAAGTCCAGTCCCCGCCATTTTGTTTTTTTTGCAGCCCAGTCTTGAATGCTTGCAAGAGCAGAGCTGAGAAGTTGGTAGGGAATCCACCCCACCCCCCCGTAGATTCCTGTGGAAGCTTTTAGTGAAATAGAAAAAGGAAGAGGGAAGCTTCAATGGGCATTTCCACACAGACAAATTTGCTCTGGGTTCAATGCTGTTGGGAAGCAGGGCCGGCTTCAATGGGGGGGGGGGCTTCCCTTCTGTGTCACCCCCACAGAGGCGGGGCTGAATCCTGCTGTCTGCAGGCCACTGCCAGGCAGGCTGCTCTGGCTGGCCCTCTTGGGGGTGGTGGTGCCGAGGCCACCTCTTAATCTTTTTAAATGACTATCCGTGAGCTGCCTCGAGCCAAGAGGCAGGGCAGGGTAGAAATACTTGGGGGAATCTCTCCTCAGTTCCCCCTTTGAGGCTGTGTCACGCCAGATCTGTGAGGAATAAATCTGCGCTCCTGTCTGGGGTGACAGAGGGGAGCAAGACTGGTTGGGAGAAAAAGATGGGGTTGGGAGAAAAAGATAACCCAGCAGTGACTGAGTTCACACTGCCTGGGTATGAGCTCCGCCATCAGCCCCGGACTGGAGGCCGGGGAGGGGGAAGGGGATTGGTTATCATTCTCCATGAATTTTCCTATTTGCTGGAGAGCCACCAGGAGGGAGAGTTAAGCGTTTGGGACTTGGATTCGGGAGATCCAGGTTCAAATCCCCACAATGCTGTGGAAGTTTGCTGCAAAGGAGGAGGAGGAGACTCGAAGTCTCAGAGCGTCTTATATCTTTCCCCTTCCCCTCCCCCCAACAGACACCCTGTGAGGGAGGTGGGGCTGAGAGAGCTCTTTCAAGAACAGCTGTGACAGAACTACGGCTTACCCAAGGTCATCCAGCAGCTGCAAGTGGAGGAGTGGGGAATCAAACCTGGTTCTTCCAGATTAGAGTCCATGAACTTAACCACCACACCAAACTGGCTCTCAAAAAATGTAGCATTGACAAAAGGGCACCTAAAATGATTATGAAGAAAGATGAAAGAGGTTAGGGCTCCTTAAGATTGGAGAAATGACAACGGAGGGGTGGCATTATAGAGATTTACAAAATTATTCATGGGACAGAACGCACATGACGCAAGTCCCACTCTGTTCTGCTGCTATTTCCCCCAGCCTTGCCTTTTGTAAAATCTTCGCAGGCTTAAGCACTACAAACCTGTGGGTCAATGCTAACCTTCTCAGGCTGCTTAGATCCTGTATCCCATACTAAGTTCTCCAACTCGGTGTAAGTGCGGAACACAGAAAAGGGGGGGGGGAACCCAGCAGTGACTCCAAGTGACAACTGGAAAGAAAACACGCCTTTGCAAAAGGCATCATGCACAAAGTCTCACTTTTGAAAGACATTTAAAACTGCTTTCAAAACACAATGGGTTGAAGAGCATGTTAATGACCAACTTTAGGTGAACAATACACACACAAAATCAGACCCAGCCATTTTATTCCACCCTGAACATAGGCTCCAGTTCTCAATAGCATTAAGGCAGACTTTCCCTAGGGAACTGATTAAGGGGCTGCTGCTTTTCCTAGAGACTCTGTGATATTTGTGTTTTGACACACTGCCCAGGCTGGGAAGAGGGCTCATTGGACTCTTTGTCATTCTGTCTGACTTTTCCTGTCATAAGGCTTCTTCACAGTAGTCCTAGAACATATCCTTGGATTCAGTCTCCTCTCCCAACCCACGGGCAAGACAGTGCATCAGTTAAGCTATCTATTCTAGATCAATTGAATCCAAGAGCTGCTTACCTCTTATGTAGCTAGCTTAGACTACGATTTGCCATGGTGAGCATATAAAAGTGCACAGGGGAGATGCAAGCTGGCCTCCCCAACAAATCTGTACTGTTATTTTACAGCATGCACACTGCCCCTTTACACTCAGCATGGTTTCTAGAAACAGTGATGCGGCTCAGTTGCTGTGTAAAGTATCCCTCGTGTTACATTTGGTGTCAACCTCCAAGACTCTCCCTGCCTTGGATTTGGGGAGATTCTCCAGGGCCAGATTTGAAGTTCTAGAAAACTCCTGGAAAAGATATGCTCCCTTCCCCCACCCCCCCACCCCCAGTGAGGTGCACATATTTGGCTACCATCCTCCCACAGAGTAGCGGGGGCAGAATTACTCACGCTGGTCTGGAACTGCAGTTTCGTCTGAAGGCTGAGACAATGACTAATGCAACAAGCTGCAGAGACAAAGAACTGGGCCTGTAGCCTGGCTGAGCTCTGGAATGCCTAAAACCAAGTGGTGGAGGACGGTCCGCGTGGCTCACCACAGCCTGTCCCCAGTGGTTGGGGGGCGAGGAGCAGGGCCGCTTCCAAGGCTGCTGCAGCTGCGTCTTTCCAGGCAAGCTTCCGGCTCCTCTCCCTTTAGAAATTAAGGCCCTGGCTACAACGAAAGGCACCACCGCTTTGAGATGTTTCAAAAAGTACTTTTATTTTTATATTACAAAATAATCTGAGTCAGGCTGCTTTTCTTTCTCTTTTTTTTACACAATCTCCAAGGTAACGGGAACAGTTTGCTCAATACTTTGATTTAAACTGGGGCTTTCCCCCCTTCACCTCCAAAGTAGTAAAATATTTAATTGTTCAGGAACAAGGACAAGCAGGCCCTGCTTCCGTTCGATTAACAAAGCCCGGGTGCCCAGTTCCTCCTTTGCTATAGTCCATCAGCTCCTACCCCCAACCTTGGGCCTGCCTGGGCTCTTGGACATGCTTCTGAGCCAGCTAGTTCAAAGTCAGCATTCTGGCTTCCTGAGGGAGCCAATGCAAAGCTCATGGGTGTGTCCCACTCCCATCTCAGAACGACACTCTGATTGCTTTCAAGTCACTCCGCACTGGAAACAAGCAGGTCCAACGAACAGAGGTGTATGGACGGCAGGCGTCCGTTGGGAGGGGGTGGGCACGGACGGATAAACAGGAGGCACTGAGGATGGCCTGACTTTAAGACAGAAGGCAGCAGCCAGAGAACTTGGTAAAAGCCAACAGACTAAGTCCTGGCTCACGATGCTCTGCTTCAGGTAAACAGACCTTGTATCCCTACCCACAGTCAAGGCCTCTTTCAAAGAGAAACCCCCCGCAAAAGGTGCTCCAGACGAAGGCAACAGAGTGCGAGATGTTGCAGATTCAGGTCTCTGCTTCTCCTCTCATAGGCACATCAAACAGGATTGGCTCCATGGGTGCAAGAGAACATCCAGGCGCCCCCCTCCCAGGTTTTGCAGAATACCCTAAGCCTCCCTTGCTCCCTGTTAAGACACAAATAACATCCTGTGTGGGGAGAGGACAGCTGTAAAGTGGCACGGCATGAAGAAGGAAGGGAGAAGAAAATTATGGCAAACTGGTCACTTCCTCCATGGCAGTGATTAGGAAAAGGTCACAAAAAAGGCAACAGTGGCCATGATCAGGATGAGAAGGTGGGCAGGAACTGGGACAACTTGAGAAGATGCTCTGTCTGAACTCCAGAGGGGGGAAAATACTCACGGGGAATCTGTAACAAAAGTGGCTGACAGCAGAAGTGTCAGTTGGTGAGTGGCTGGGTCAGGGACAAAGAAGTGCACCATGGGTGAAACACACGAATATAGTACCAAAATGTTACAAACCAAAGGGGGAAGAAGTCACGTGAAAACCAGGAAGGCAAGAGTCAATGCAGAACATGCTTTGCTCTACACCCCCCAGAAATAATTTCGTAGTACGAGAAAAGACAGGAGGTCCTAGATTCTGGGTAGCCGGGAAGGTAGCAGCCACAGGCAGCTTGTGCTTTCACGACTGGATGAAGGCATGAAGCGTCTCCACCAGCCATTTCTCAGTGCAAAGGCCTCCCAGCAGAGGGGCAGCAGTTCCAGAATTCAGACGAAGCCAAAAACTGAATCCCTGGAAGACACACACACAGAGAGAGAAGGAGGGAGGGGAAGAGAATCAGCATGCTTCACTCCAGGGCTACATGGGAAGTTCCAATGTGTGTGGTAGCTCCCCCACCCCTAAACTAAAGACCAGTCAACACTTGTCTGTTTTTGCCTCAGGGCCCTTGGAAGAGGCGTAAGGCATTTGGACAGGATGGCTGGATGTCTTTAGGGCCAGGCATCACTAGTAGATTGTTTTCAGCGGAGCGTAATGCTCTTCAGGGAACATACCAGAGGAGGCGATCCCATGCTCTGGGGTGAGGGACTATAGCTTGGATGGTAGAGATCACGAGTATTAATTGCTCCAAAGACTGCCTTTTTGGTCAGAGAGGCTCATCTAGCTGGTTACCAGGCCTCTCCTCTAATCTGCATGCCAGGTAGGCACGCAGGTCTGCCCCAGCCAAACACAATCCCGGTCGTCACGTCTGTCGTCTATAAGCATGCCAGCTTCCACAAGGACAGCAGCAGGCACACCAGAGCGCTTGAGAAAGGTTTCACAGTCTCATCCTCCCACGCTCGCTTTACTGCCAAGAGACTGGAGCCACACTCCACCTGGATGAGAAGTCCTGCCTACTAGAGCCAGTGACATCCAATGCTACTAGTTGGCACCCCACTTCCCAGCAGTTTTCCCCTAGGCTCACAATGTCTCATAAGGACAGCAGTGGGAATACCAAGGGGTGGGGAGCGGCTTTAACATTATATACACCTTCCTGAGGATCTCTTTGCCATTCTACTGCCAAGAGCCCTACTCCCAGCAAAGCCATCTTTCCTGTATTATTCTAAGCTCTATTACTCTTGCAGTTCACCACCTCGGAGATTAACACCCCAGCTTTTGACCAAAATAAATAAACAGAGAGCTATACGCACCAGCGGGCTCCGACAACGCAGCACAAAGAGAGAGATGGAACCGGGAGCCCTTCTAGCCAACCACAACCGCTATGCAGATGATGGCAATGATGACGACCACGGTGATACTCAAGCAGATGATGATCATGACCTTCTTCTGCCGAGCCCCAGAAAGAGGACAGAAAAAGGTGAGGTAGGTGGGCGGAAAGGGAGGCTCAGTGCCATAGTTGCCTTTTATGAACCCTGAACAGACAAAGCTGCCTGATACAGACTCAGACCACTGGCCCAACTTAGTCGCTACTGCCTACTCTGACTGGCGGTGGTCTACCAGCCTCTGGCAGAAGTGTCTTTGCCAATCTTTTACCAGAGAACCTTTTTTCTGAAAATGCCAGAGACTGAACCCGGGACTTTTGCATGCGAAGCATGCACTCCGCCACAGAGCTCTGGCCCTTCAGGGAGAACACGGCAGTATGAAAAGCACTGAAGCTTCCTGACAACTCCCCTCTCTGATTTAATGAAGCACTGCCCTCATGTTTTCAAAACTTCTCCTTGCAGCCATGAAGGCTAGAAATTTGGGCTCCACCCCCCACCCCTTAATGAGAGAAGCAGTTCTCTGGATTTTGCTCTTGCATGCGGCAACTTAAGCTAAGCAGGACACGACTGTGGCCTTTTCATTCAGAAGGGGCACTGCATAAATCATGTTTTGAAGCCAGGCAACTTACCTTACGGGCTTTCTTCTGGTTCTCCTGAGCCGTGTGAAGATGAATCTGCCCTTTCTTGACATAGTCCTCTGAGTCCAGAATGGCCTTCTCTATCCGGTTAATCATCTCTCCCTAAACCCAGACAAAGGGGAAGCAGTGTGAAGACTCTACAGTGAATGGGGGGGGGGGACAGACAAGTAACTCTGGGGCAAAAGAAAGAAGTGGAAGCTAATAGGTTCCAACATGGATTGGAGCAAAGGGGTTGGGGGTGTGTGGAGTACAAGGAGTGAAGAAAACAAGACAAGGTCAGAGGGGTGGGTCAACAGGAAACTGCCCAGTAAAGGAACAGAAAAAGAAAAAGGCATGTAAACACAGCTACTCAGTAAGAGACACTTCCTCTCCAACTTTAGAGACCAAAATGCAGCAATTAAGCCCATCTTAATTCCCACAAGCTGCACGTGCAGGAAGTTTATTTGTGGATGACAGCAAATAACAAGAGGGGGACAGAAGATGGACAAGAATCTGAAGCATACTGGAAAAGGGAATCAGGAGTTGCCTCTTTCACACTCGAGAGGAAGAGTGCCTGGCTTCTAGCCCCCCACCCCCAGTACCTGCAGCTCCACCTCCGTGGCCAGGTACATGAACATTTCATGCAGCTCCTGGATGCTGCGCTCCAGCTTGAGTATCTCACTGTGCCGTGTCTCGATTTCATTCAGGGCCTGCTTCGTCACTTGCGTGTCCTTCATGATCTGGGTGGCAAAGGAAGAGAAGAAGAAGAAGAAGAAGAGATTGGATTTATCCTCCGCCCTTCACTACCCAAAGGTGTCTCAGAGCGGCTTACAAACTCCTTTCCCTTCCCCTCCCCACAACAGACACCCTGTGAGGTGGGTGGGGCTGAGAGAACTCTGACACAAACTGCTCTTTTTCAAGGACAGCTGTGCCAGAGCTTGTGACTGACCCAAGGTCACATCAGCAGGTGCAAGTGGAGGAGTGGGGAATCAAACCGGGTTCTCCCAGATTAGATTCCGCACACTTAACCACTACACCAAACTGGCTCTCACAGTGGCTTCATCCGCCCTCCCCCCTTTAAAAGTCTTGCTTTGTGATACTCACATTGGAGACAAACACCTCTGTCTGCCCACTCTCCAGCATCTGGTCCAGCTCTTCATCTGTCACCACTCCACTGCCAGCTGGAAAGAAAACAGCGCAACCTCAGCGCCAAACATACTTTCTCTCTTGCCCTTGAGTTCAGGGTGACACGTGCCATTCTCTCTTCTTCATTTGAGTCTCACAACCCTTTTAACAGCAGTTAGGCCAACAGAGAGCAACTTGCCCAGGGTTGCCCAGTGAGTTACATGGTAATGTGGGTCTCCCACATCCATCACTCTAACCGTTATACCACACTGACTCCTCTGCTCTCCTGTTAGGTTCGGGAAATAAAACCCAAACGCGCTTGAATTTAGCATCCCCATTTGAACCCTTGCACGACCGGTCCTGTCCCGAAACCAAAAACAGAATCTGTGTCCCACGTTCTGAGGCAGCAGACCCCTCCCCAAAGTGAGGCTCAAGATACAAGGCTGTGGGGTAAGGGCCCCTACTGTCAGTTTTCCAGCACCACACTGCCATCTAGTGGAGCACTGCATCACAGAAGGGGAGAGCTCCACCCAACACGCCCTCCTCAGCCTTCAGCACACTGTTCACGAACATAAAAGCTCCAACACCGTGCAACCGTATTCTGTGACTGAAATTTGGAAAGTTTTGCATGATGCCTGGAATGCTTTATTTGAATTCCCTGCTGTGGTTTTCAAGCCTTTTCTTAGCCAGATTTGTCTGCCAAGTAAATCCTGCAAGTCATACAGACTTTCGTTCTAAGACAAACAGTTTGTCTGTTGTAACTGTAGCTGGACAAAGAGTTTAGTGATAGAAACCCCCAACCTGAGACTCTTAAGTGGTCAGCCTTCACAAAACGAGGCATACAGAAACAAGAGCCATGTGAGCATAGGGGTTATTACCAGGGGTATCAGAGAGTTCATTCTCGGCACCATAGAATGAGAGACTGAGCAGTCCCAAATGTGGTGATATTCTCAACAGACTGAGATGGTAAAGAAACCGTTTCAAAGAACCATATTTACGTGCTGTCAAAGAGCCACACGGCATGCCTCCAAATCTGTGCCTTTCACAAATGCACACCTCAGAGGTATCTTTTTCAACTTTAGGAGGCAACTGTACATCTTCCTTGGATTTAAGAATTCTGAGGAATAATCGTGCCAACAGATGTCACAGCATTAACTGAAATGTCATTTCCGGGAATTGTTTTTTTGGTGGGAGGGCAGCCAGTTTTTCTGAACCATTTGTCAGCGCTCAGTTTTCTGGACCTTCCACTTTTAGTGTCGCCACCACCACCGAGATGTCATTAAAACTACACTCCTCCTCTCCCACATGATCTGAGAATACATCCGGTGCTTGCTTGCTGTGCAGGAGGAGGCAAGCAGGAGCAGTGGGCCAGTTTGTTTGCTTTTATTGATCTTTTCAATAAACTTGTCAAATTTTTATCTCTGAACAGTTGTAGAAAATTTCTCAGCAAAACTGGGAGCAACCAAACCGCTCCCTCTCTGCAGACAGGACTAGGGGTGAGAATCCCGAGACAGGACTTCATACCTCTTCCCGTTCACATCCTCACCCTTTGGAAGAATACAGGGCTGGCAAGGGGGAAGTAACACGGCCCATCCCAAACTCGCTCTCCCGAGCCAGCACTGTGCCCTGCTTAAATACAGGACATGAGCAGCTGCCAGGATGGACTCCTTACAGCCTGCCCTGCTCCCATTTAGGCCGTCTCCCTTCTAGCTTCTAATCCACTCGAAGGATGAAGCAATGAGGCAGGAGGGTCTCTCTGGATCTTCACCTCGTATACACACACATGCAGAAACCACCTTTATTTTCTGTTGGAGCTGAGCAGGTCCTGCACACCAACAGTTTGCTGCCATAGCTGGCTGCGTAGGCTTTGGACTGGCTGTGCCAGTCAAGGGGAATAAAGGAATCGGGAAATCCTCCCCACCCCCCTCCGCTCATTGTTCTGCTGTGAACCCCCAAGCCAAGTCTGCTTGTGTAGCTCACCTGCCAACTTTCCCAGCGTTCAGGGTCATCTTTCTTTGGAGGACGACAGACAGTCGCTCTCTGTCTCCACAGGAAGATGACTTGGCTGGCATACAAGCAGGAGCACGTCACTGAGAACTTGTTATAAAACGGCACATTCGAAGGCAGAGAAAAAAAGGCTTTCAAGATTTCACCACGGCAGTGGAGGAGTAGACCACATATAGGCATCCCTTCCACCCCCACCAATCCCCTGAGATTTCTCGAGGAAGAAAATCTTATCTGATGGAATGCAGCTAACCCCCAGAAAAGAGAGCGCGAAAGAAAGAAAGTCAGGCCCTTGGAACCAACAGGAGTTGTCAGTGCTGAATTATAACACACACCTCCTAGGCTACCCTCTTCTTCTGAGCCACGTTTCCCCAATGCGCAGTCCACAGTCCTGCAATACACCCAACAGACAGAGGCGCATTCTCTCCCTCTGCTCTGCTATCTCCACATCTGAAATTGTTAACACCAATGGCAGGAGGTTCATGGTTTCCTTCCTCAGGAGAGCCCTCCATTGTCCTCAGCTTCTGCGTAACTGGGAACGCTGCCATTTCTCCCCTGCTACATGACCATCACCTGAGCTTTCAGGAACTGAAGGGAGCCCACTGCAGGGTCATAGGATTTACATAACATGCTTGGGGGGTCAGGTCATTCAGTTGTTTTCTCCTAAATGAGAACAGCAGTGGCTCATCTTTGGCCTCTGAACTCGGGGGGAAAATAGGCAAGCCTTGACTGCATGCAACCAGTGGCGGTTTACCCACTCATCTTTAACTGGTGGTATGGGCCATGCCTGACTAGATGTAAAGGAGGACAACGTTCCTTTACGTGAAACAGTGATGCAGAAAGAGCAGTCGTGGCAAGCTGCAGCTTCTATACAGGAATGAGCAGAGGTGGCTCCTGCCAGAGGCCCCTCTTCTACAGAAGGCCTGCCCTCTTTTGCGGTCGCTCACCCCGTCAGAGAGAGGGAGGGGAAATGCACATATGGGATCAATTCAGCTTGCTGATTGGGGTTAAATGGAGGGTCCAGAAAAGGCTTCAGATTATCTATTGAGACAACCTTTGCAGACTTCTTTTGCTAATGTGGGAACTGCTGCAGCTGACTCAGTACTCTGCCCAGTTCACATTTCTTTGATTGTTACCCTATGAAGAAGAAGACAATGACGACGCCAAAGAGGAGATTGGATTTATATCCCGCCCTTCACTCGGAGTCTCAGAGCGGCTTACAAACTCCTTTCCCTTTCCCTCCCCACAACAGACACCCTGTGAGGTAGGTGGGGCTGAGAGAGCTCTCTCAAGAACTGCTCTTTCAAGGACAGCTCTGACAGAACTACGGCTTGCCCAAGGTCATCCAGCAGCTGTAAGTGGAGGAGTGGGGAATCAAACCTAGTTCTCCCAGATTAGAGTCCGCGCACTTAACCACTACACCAAACTGGCACTTGCATGTGAACCTTAGTAACAAGACTACTATAAAATGCTGCGGACAGCATTAGTTCGAGCTCTTAGAAAGCAAAAAATGCAAATAGACACCAACATTACCTCTGCATCACAATCACAGAATTATGCACTTGAAATACATTACACAACTTAAGCTTACTCCCCCCTAATTTCTGCTATCCATGGAGAGGTGTAAGGGACTAAAAAGAAGCACTTAAAAGAGCCCACCCAATGCATGCATACACACTCTCTTGAGATGTCACCAAGCACGGACCTCATTTTTAAATGTCACTTGCAACCATAAAGACAAAAAAAATGCACTCTCTCTCACCCCTTCCCCCTGAAAGCTAACTGTCTGGTGATGCCTGGTATACATAAAGCCCTGGCTAGCAAGTTCTGCTCAACAGCTTATGAATTTCTGCACATCCCACCAAACAGCCACAGTGTGATTGAATTAATAGGGCATTTAATTTGGCTTTGGGCAAGTCACGATCTCAGTGTAGCCTACAGCCGGCACCTTCCCTTGTTCCTGTGACCTAAAGGCTAACACCAGTGTGAAGCAGCCCAGCAGCAAGGGAGTGACTTGTCCGACACTAACATAAGGCCATCATTTGGGCTGCTGTAAAGGAAGCAAAGAGACTCACTGATTTGCAGTTGTCGCCTGATCCGTTCCAGGTTCCGGTCTCGGTACGCTGATTGAATCGAGTTGCACTTATTGATAAGATCCAAGAACTGTTGAGACAGGATCCCGTGCTAAGACAGAAAAGGAGAGAAAGGGTTAAGGACCCCTGAAGGTGCCTCGCCAGCCCCTCTACCAAGCTAACCACCTCTGCTACCAAGCTAGCCAGTGGGGCTGAGTCTCACCTGGGTCCTTTTCATGCGGGTCTTGACAGAGTTCCGATTCTCATCCTCTTCACCCTTCTTGGGCTCAATCTCTAAATTAAAAGAAAATTAAAACACAGGGCTGCCATTCAGTCACCTTGCGTCCTCTTGGAGCTACAGACAGAACTCTGGAGCTGCAGGCCAGCCCTGGACCCCTCTCCCTCAACTGAAGGGCAGGGCCCAGGAGCCCAGTATCCAGCACCCTTCCCTTCCTGTCACTCATTAAATCCCCAGCCTCCTTTCACTGCAGAGTCCTACTCACTCTTCAGGCGGGCCCGAATGTCCTTTGCCAACTCCTTGATCTCCTCACGTAATTTCTGTAGGTCTTGCTTCATGCCTGGAAATGCAAGGTGACAAAGGCAAGAGCTGGTGGGGCCAAAACAAGAGGGCTAAGGAAGCACTTGCACAGGGCTTATGCGGTGGTGGTGGTGGTGGGGTCATGTGGTTTTCTTCATGCCACATCCAATTCCTGCAGGCGTCTAGTTTTCAGCCTACATTAGTTGCCGACCTTTCTGCTAGTGCTAATCTTTAAGGGATGCATGTGTTTAGCACTAGATGACCCCCCCCCTTCTCTTCCCAATTGCTCTCCCACTTCTGAGCAAACTTACCATCTTCAGGAAGTGGTGTGGCCAAAATTGTGATCTGGTGTTTCTCTAGATCTACCACTTTGCTTTCCAGAGTCTTCAATGCCTCACGGATACCACGTGTCTGATGAGGAGAAAGGGATACCGTGAGAAGGGACAACACTAAACTGCAATTTATTAGTAAACGAAAACAATATGGGCTTTTCAACAACATGAGGTGAAACCAGTCTTCGATTGTCATATGCCTGTCTAGAAAATACCCCATGGCATGTAGATGGTATTTATATGCTGTTAGTTATCTAAAGGCTGTTCAGGGTTACTGGAACACTTTAGAAGTACTCAGTTCCTCCTTATCCCTCAGCTGCATGTTGCAAGACTGCTCAACTCCTCTGATACATCAGTGCAATCAGGCCGGTGGCAGAGTGTATGTATATGTTCTCTGCCAGCCTATGCCACCTGTGACATCACAGCATACCAGCCAATGGCATCAAGAGGCAGAACAAGTGAGGTCAGAAGCTGAGAAAAGAGATTTCAGTGGGAGAATGAAAGGCTCAGAAAGGTCATGATACCATTTGGAGGAAATCATCAGTAGGATCTGGGGAGTCCCTAAATTTTGCCGATCCAGGCCGCACAACCAGCACCTCATGCTCCGCTTCTTCACTGTCAGAGTTGTCGTCATTCTATGAAAGACGCAGAGAAAGGAGTTTAGACGGGTCCAACAACTATGCATTTGTTGGGGGGCAGCAGCAGAGAGGGAAGAGGCACAGAAGAGAAACTGTTCTTCAACAACTAAAGTCCAGTTACAGTAGAAGAAACACATTACAGAAACAAACCCCCAACATTTCAAGGGTGGTTTAAGACAAATATGGCACATCGACCCAGCATCAAGGTTACAGTTCTGAAAATCAGACTGGACTTGTTTTCTATTTGGTAATGGCACACTCCGGGTCTTCCCATGTACTGCTTGTATTACTAGGCTAGCAAAGAACTTTGGAGAGCAGTAGTTACCCATTTGCTTCCAGCACAATTCAAAGTGCAAGTACTTACCTTTAAGGCCCTCTGGCTTGGGACCAGGCTACCTGAAGGACCACCTCATCCCATATTATCCTGCCCACCAGATAAGATATGCCCCTCAAGCCCCGTTCTGTGACCCCATGTTCAGAAGTGAGATGGGTGGTAACTACAAACAGGACATTTGCTGTGGTGGTACCTTGCCTTGCGAATGCCCTTCCCCTTACCTGGCACCTACATTACTTTCTTTTAGGCACCAAGTTAAAACAAATCTTTTTACCCAGCCTTTTAATTATGGTTTTATCTTAGCAGCTTTTTAATGGTCTGTTGTTTTATGGATTGTTTTTATGCTGCCTGCGTTGTTAATGGCTTTTGTTTTTAATTATAAGCTGCCTCAAGCAGGACTCTGAAGAGGTGCCATGGCACAGAAAATATTCTAAATAAATAACATTCTAGGGCCAATATAAATATGCAGAGAAGTTAAATGGTCACCTAAGAAATGGTGTATAATTGTATGTGAAACCAGATTTTGACAGCCTTTGGTTGTAATGACATATACAATTGGTCTGTGCAGGAAACCTATAGTCTTTAGTGATGTTTATCCTGAGATAATAACTTGTTCTCCCATGCAGAAAGCTAATTGGCTACTATACCTTGCTGGAGAAGATGGAGGTCCCTTTCAGCTCTATGATTCTACAAGTCTATATTGACTTGTGCAAGTGATTCTATTCACTTGTGCAAGAGATTCTCTGCAAAAGGGGGAAAATGATCTATGGACAGGAACACTAAAAGAGAAGATGGACACCAAGGGTTTTCTGTCTGGGAAAAACATTGTCCTCAGTCTTTGAACATATATGTGTTACCACCATAGCAAAAATGGGACACAACAAACAGCACATGAAAGATTAAGGATCAACACTCCAGCCACAAGATAAAATATTTCACACCACACATATATACAGACACCATGAACATGTATTTTGGGTGCATTTCCGATCCTACTCAAATTCTTACTTATAAGTAGGGTTATCATTCCACCATCACCTAGGAAAATAACTTCAAAGGGATATTCCAGGGTGAAACTGCTGAATTAGACCTCATTAAGAACTCTGATACCATTTCCCAAGGGCTTAACAAGGATTCTAGGGCCAATATAAATATGCAAAGAAGTTAAGCTATTACAGGGATTACTTTGTATGATTATGTCTCACCCTGTACTTCCTGCATTTCCTGGCCCTGTGACTCTGCTGTTTACATTTTTTTAATTCACAACTTCATCTATATGTCTGCCTAGTGAGAACCCATTATGTGCATCTGACAGAGGAGGTGCCAGTCCACAATGCTAGAATGAAAACTTGCTTGTCTTTTCAATACCACTGGCCTCCTGTTTATTTAAGATTATGTACATTTCAGGATTTTGTAAGGACATTGAAAACCCACAGAATGTCTTACTGGGGAACAAATTCCATTTCTCAAGATTTTCAGTTAAAAAAAAAAAAGGAAAGCATTTATCCTTCACAGTCATGAAGATATGATTTCAGTGGTGGCTCCACGCTGGTAGAACAAGCTCCCGGAAGATACTAGGGCCCTGCAGGACCTCTTACAGTTCCACAGGGCCTGTAAGACAGAGCTCTTCCACCAGGCCTTTAGTTAAGGAGCCGCATCCAACAACTAAGACCCTGTGCCCAATGCCACCATTGATAGCCTGTGCTTCACCAAATTGTAATAACAACTGCTGACTGTATTTTTTAAGTATGTCTGCTGCTATTACTACCTCGTCATCACTGTATAAGATGATAACTAGCACTTTAAGTCTTGTTGTTATGGTTATATTTATAATTGTTGTTTTATTTGTCGAATTTTATGTAAGCCGCCCTAAACCTGCCCTGGCGGGGAGGGTGGGGTATAAATCAAATAACTAACTAAATAAATATGGTCAAACCCCATAAAGCCTCTGAAGCCAGAAAGATGGCTGAGGAAGATTTTCTAATAGTCGGGGGCTCCCTGCCCCTCCTCCTAACTTGCAAAACCAGAATAAAAATATGCAAAACATTTTATTCAAATGTGCTGAATTATGCATCAAAGAGGACTTAAATTCTGTAGGTTGTAGAATCTTCACCCAGAATTTGAGCATTTATTCTGCTATATTGCATTCAAACTAGGGACATAAAATTTATTTAATAAAGCAACTGTTTAAACTATCAAAAAATATTATTGTTTAAACACTACCAAGTGCATAATCTAGCCTACATACATATTCCTGAACACATGAAGCTGCCTTACATTGAATCAGACTATGGGTCCATCAAAGTCAATACTGTCTCCTCAGATTGGCAGTGGCTCTCCAGAGCCTCAGACAGAGGTCTTTCACGTCACCTACTGCCAGGTGGAGAAGCCAGGGGGATTGAAGATGGGAACTTCTGCATGCCAAGGTGATGCTCTAGTACTGCACCATGGCCCCTCCCTTCCTTACATACCAGCTCTTCTACAGTTTTTTTTGTAGAAACCCCCCCCCCAGCACACTCTAGTGTCAGCCTTCTACACATACAGTAAGGCCAGCAGCAGAAAACGCACGTTTCACAGGCAAAGATAACCCCGAAACGCAAACTTCTCAAAGCCTCGGAAAACCTTTACAGCACTATATGTACGGTAAACAAATCCTTATTGCTCAATCACTTAAACATTTAATGTTTTATATCCCTAACAGCAAACATTTTGTAACAACCGTGTTAACATAACAAAATATAGCAATTAAATTACTACAATCAAGCCAACGTAAACCAGAAAACATCCAAATTTTACCCACTCCAAAATTCCCTCCAAAATAGGAGCTTCACAAAACACCAGAAAAAAAAAACAAGGTAGCAAGGTTGGCTTCTTAGAAAAGGGATAATCCCAGAGTTTGGGAGTAGTAGCTAAAAATGTAGCAGCCTATATATTCCCGCCCACCTCACCTTTGTCTCTAAGGGCATACAGAAGGCTCCCAGCTGAACTTGGAAGGTCATGGAGACAGTTTGTCAAATACTCTGGGCCCCAAGCTTTAAGAAGTCATCATCAGTATTTCGAACTAGGCCCAGAAATTTAATAGAAATCAAAGATGATACCGCACCTTCACAACATGAAGCTGGTTTATTTCAGCACACAATTTCTGAGTCTCTTAGCTCAGAGTACAAACAGCTTGCTTATAGGATACTTTGCCCATTCAAATGGCTAATTAAAGAAACAGTCACTAAATGTAAGTTCCAGAAATGCAAACAACACTGCGGTGGCATCTTCAATATTTCATTTAATTGCGGTGTAAGCTTTCAAAGGCCAGCCAGCCTCCTTCTCAGGTGTATCTACACAGGTGGTAGGAATATTACCACTATTTAATGAGGCTACAAAATTACACTGTAGCCATAAATTAGAATTCTGCTTCTAATCGATTGGTGGGGCACAGCCTGAGGAACACTGTTCACGCAGGGCTCAAAGTTCTCTCCTTCCTGTGTCAAATTTGATGACGGTTTCTTTCCACCTAGTTGGCAGGCAAAATTAGCAGCTGTTTTGCATTTCAGAGCGAAACCACCACATCCCTTCTAGGCAACAAGCTCACAGCACTCAGTTGAAGTTGACAAGAATCCTTCAACCTGGATTCTCTGCAGTTCTGAAAAGAGGGGAAATTGGGCAGATGGGGAAGTTTTTTAAGTAGACTAGAAACTTCAAGTAGATACAGAAACAGGGGTTGGGAATAGCTGGAGAAGAAACCAAAGTTTACAAGGTGAGACACCTAACAAGAAAAACAACCCCAACCCTAATACAAAGAATTGCGTACAATGCATACATTTCACCACGAGCCATCCACGATCCTTGATCACAACCTGAGATGGACAACTAGATGCCCCCTCACCTACCACAAATAAATGCATTCATTTTGATACTCTACAGGTAGTAGCTTCTCTTCACCACTTGTATCATACTTTACATTACGCATTGCCCTTGTTTCAAGGAGCTCCATCAGGGTGGCATACATGGGCGTTACATAGTGTACAGGGTGGCATACATAGTGACTGTTTCATCCTCTTCTCAACTGTTTAACAAGGTTGAGACACAGTAACTGATTCAAAGCTACCTAGAGAACCTCAAGATGGAGCAAAGTTTTGAATCAAAAGCTCCCCTGTCTAGGTTACTATCCTATACTGGCCTTCCTCCTCAAGTTCAAGAGACTGTTCAAAAAAAAAATTGTTGCTGCTCTGGGTCACAAATTAATGCAATGTTCACTTATTTAGTTCATTCATTTATGTCCCACCTTTCTTCCCAACAGGGACCCAAACGCTGCCTTGACAACTGAGGCTCACATCTCCAGCTTCTCCTTCAGTTGCTGGAAATGCAGGGTCCCAGCCCTAAATGCATGCCGTCCCACCCCATTCCCAGACATTCTTCTCTGGCCTATGGTTACGGAGGCTGAGATAAAGCTTTCTGGATGGTGAGCTGAGCAGGAGACAAGAAAGACATGGGACACTGTGGAAAAGAGAGGACAACAGTCCTACTCAGGGAAACATTCTATGAGGGTGGACTTGAGGATCATGTCAGAGGAAGATAAAAGACAATGGGGGAGCAAAAAGAAGGGTGCCAGAAGATCAACATGGGGTATTGGCTAGCACAAGACTCAGACCAGAATTCAAACCCCATTCGGCCATTAAGTTCACCAGGTGACCGTGAGACGCCCAGCAACAGAAGCAGGGGGAAGCTGATGTAATACCAAGAGGTACAGTTAAAAGTTCACTGTAAAATTCCCTTTCATGGTAAAATGAGGAAAAAACCTCCCGGTGTGATTAAAGATTCTTCCTCAGAGGTGTTTTTTAAAACAGGAACCTCATTTCTCCTTCTGGCAAAACAGAACCTGCCTCACAAGGTGCTGTTAAAACTGGTTGGTGGTCAGGTTCTTGGAAAACAAAGCGTAATTTTATATACATACATACATACATTGAAATTATGCAGAGGGAAACAGCCCAGTATTACAGGAATGGGGCACAGGGTAGGCAAAAAATACTACAGGTGACCAGTGTTCCCTCTAAGCTCAGTGAGTGTGAGCTAGCTCACAGTTTTTTAGCCTCCGGCTCACACATTTTTGTCTCCGCTCAGGAAGGAGGGCTCCAGAGCAAACTGATTTATGCAGCAGCCAAATCACTTGCTCACAACTTTGATGCTGGCAGCTCACAAAGTAGAATTTTTGCTCACAGGACCCCACAGCTTACGGGGAACATTGCAGGTGACCTGGGGAGGGGGAAGAAAAGAATGGCACAAGGCAGGGGAGAACAGTGGACAGTCTTTTAAATACAACAACTCCTCTTGATGCTTCTCCCAAGCAGCGGCACAAGAGGCAGGAATTTAGCTTCTCCTGACAGGACGACCAAGTGACTGCGGAAGCGTCGCCTGCCTAACTCCTGCCTGCCTTGCAGGCTGCTGTCAAAGACTTCGGGCGCGGGGCCAAGAACGGGGAGGCGGCCGCCTGAGCGGTGCGTGTGTGGACCATCCTATCAATAAATACATCCCCCTTATTATAAGCAGAGAAAGACTCATTAAAGGTAAAGGTTCCCTTGCTCGAAAGCCAGTCGAGTCCGACTCTAGGGTTGCGGTGCGCATCTCCATTTCAAAGCCAAAGAGCCAGCGCTGTCCGAAGACATTTCTGTGGTCATGTGGCCGGCGTGACTAAACACCGAGGCGCATGGAACGCTGTTCCCTTCCCACCGAAGTGGTCCCTATTTATCTCCTTGCAATTTCTTGCTTTCGAACTGCTAGGTTGGCAGGAGCTGGAACTAGAGACGGGAGCTCACTCCATCATGCGGCACACTTGGGTCTCGAACTGCTGAACGACCGACCTTCCACAGCCTGCAGTTCAGCGTCTTAACCACTTGAGCCACCGCAGCTCCTAAAGACTCACTACAACTAAATAAACCACAGGAAGGGAGGCGGCGGCCAAAGAAGCGAGGAAAAAGCTGTCAAAATGGGGGAAATGGAGAAACCTGGAAGTTGAGAGGGCAGAGACGGGGAGGGGGGTTAGGCAAGAAACCAGTACAGAGGCATCTTTCTTTGAAATTTTTTATCAGGAAATAGAGTTTTAAGAAGCCCCTGTGGGGGTGGGTGGGAGAGAGAGAGAGAGAGGGGACTATTGTGCGAAAAAGGAAGCCTTCAGAGCGGCCAGTGGTGCAAGGAAGGAATGGGAGAGGGCGGAGCCAAGCGACCGTTGTGGGTGTGGCCGGGCGCGCGCGAAGAGGCGGGGGGGGGAGAAGGGGGCAAACCGCTCACCTCTCGGAGCTCGAGCGTTCGATCCCTCATAGCGTATCTGGTTTTTTCCCCCCTTCACACCTCGGGGACGAAGCGACGCGGAGGGGAGGGGGGAAGAGAATGGAGGGGAAGGAGAAACCGCGCAGGCGCGCACAAGCTCCGCGCGCTCTTCTCCCACCCCTCCCGCGAGTCCACCTCCTCCCTCTTGCGTACGCTCGTAGAACGGGCAGAGGCCCCGCCTCCCGGTGCCGAATGCAGCCTTAGCGGCCGCGCGGCACCACAGCCGCAACCGCCCGCGTCGCGAAATCAGTCTCCTCCTCCCCGCACCGCCTCAGCCAATGGAGAAACGGAGAGGAGGAGGGCGGGCCGAACTGTGTCAATTAGGTTCTTTCCGTTTGCAGGAATTAGGGAATGTAGGACGTCCGAGTCCAAGAAAGAGACGGGGATTTCGCCCGCACCCCTTCCTCAAGTGGAAAAAGTCTTCAACGAAGAACTGTTTAAAAACCGGAAGCGTCCTCTGCCCATCCATGAATGACTTCAACATGGCCGCTGCCGGAAGTCAATATTTTGAACCTATCACTTGCTTTTGGTTAAGTAGCACCATAGAGCCCTGTGCGCGGTAGAGCGTCGCGTGCTGCTATTCCTATTTTTAACCATTGAATCGTCCCCTTTTAATAACATTGGGATCTAATCGGTATTTGAGTGGTGTTAAATAGGCACTGCAAAACTGGCTGATATTTTTTATGCAGTAAGATTTTATTTTTTGTTTGTTTCGATTTCTATCCCGCCTTGCCTGACAAGCAGGCTCAAGGCGGCGTACAAGAATAATTTACAATAAAAACAGATAAAATTCTAACAGTAAAATATAAAGTGCAGATTAAATACAAACGATAAAGTGGAGATGGCTGCCATTGTAGTTGGTCCCCTATGACTAGACCAGCATCCCAAAGGAAGTGCCAGTAATAGATGTTCAGTAGTTCGTGGCGGCTCCTAGTTGAAATCCTGGTGGAAGAGCTCAGTTTTACAGGCCCTGCAAAACTGTAAAAGGTCCCACAGGGCCCTGATGTCCTCCTGGAGCTCGTTCCACCAGTATGGAGCCGCCACTAAGAAGGCCCTAGATCTGGTGATAGCCAGTCTGGCATCCTTGGGGCCAGGGACAGTCAGGCGATTTTGAGTCCCTGATCTCAGTGCTCTTCTGGGAATGTGTGGGGAAAGGCGGTCCCTCAGGTAGGCAGGCCCCCCGGCCATATAGGGCTTTAAAGGTCAAAACCAGCACCTTGAAGCGAATCCGGTATGCTATTGGCAGCCAGTGCAGCTCCCTCAGCAGAGGCAGGATGTGCTCTCGAATAGAGAGGCCCATCATTCTGCGCTAGCATTCTGCACTAGCTGCAACTTCCGGGTTTGGGACAAGGGCAGCCCCATGTAGAGAGCGTTGCAGTAGTCCAATCTCAACGTAACCATAGTGTGGATCACTGTTGCCAGGTCATTGTGTTTGAGGAAGGGAACCAACTGCCTAATCAGCCGTAGATGGTAAAAGGCAAAGATGGTTGGCAGTGGCTGCTACCTGGGCCTCCATTGTTAAGGCGGCATCCAGGAGCACTCCCAGACTCCTGACCCTCGGCGCTGGCACCATGGCGCCCCACCGAAGGTCGGTAGTGGGATCCCTACCTTCGAACCGCTCCGAATCAGGCACAAGACCTCCGTCTTCATTGGATTCAATTTCAATCGGCTCAGCCTAAGCCAGCCCGCCACGTCCTGATAGCATATTGGTGACACCCAAGCCTGTGCCTCCGGGCTATCTGGGCAAGGGGGCGCATGTAGATGTTAAATAACATCGGGGATAACACCGCCCCTTGAGGGACCCCGCAGACCAGTGGGTACCTCTGGGACGTCTGCTCCCCTACCACCACCCTCTGTCCCCGACTTTGGAGAAAGGAGACGAGCCATTGTAAGGCAAGCCCCTGAATCCCATTGTCGGTGAGGTGGTGGATCAGCAACTGGTGGTCGCCAGTGTTGAACGCCGCTGACAGGTCCAACAACACCAGTGCTGCCGTACCGCCGCGATCCAGATGCCTTGAGGTCATCTGTGAGGGCGACCAGTGCCGTCTCTGTCCCGTGGCCTGGCCGGAAGTCAGACTGGAACAGGTCTAGCATGGAAGTGTCATCCATAAAGCTCTGCAACTGAATCGCTGCTGCTCCCTCCAGTAATTTGCCCAAATAGGGCAAATTGGAAACTGGCCGATAGTTGGCCAATTCAGCTGGGTCCAAGGATGGTTTTTTTCAAGAGAGGGCGGACCATCGCTTCCTTGAGTGCCCCAGGGAACAGCCCCTCAGCAAAGGACTTGTTGATAATATCCCTGAGGGAACCTCGCAGCCCCTCAGGGCCAGCTTTTATAAGCCATGAAGGGCACAGATCAAGGTTGCACATGGTTGGAGGTACCATTGAGAGCAATCTGTCGACTTCCTCAAGGCTGAGTGGACTGAAATAATCCAGAATGGAACTAGAAGGCATGGGGCCTCGAGTTCGCTCACTGTCTCAACTGTGGAAGGGGAGATCACGGCGGAGCAGCAGGACTTTATCTGCAAAATAGCTTGCAAATGCCTCACAGCCAATGTCCAATTCCCTAGCATTTGACCTGCCCTGGGGCAGCTCTGTTAATGACCGAATATTCTAAACAATTGTGCCGGGCGTGAGCTAGCAGACGCAACCCGTGGCCGCATGAAACACTCTCTTCGCTACTAGCTGCTAGCATCCTAAAATGGTGTCACTTCTTCCAGATCTTTTGTATGAGGTGTGTGGACAAGCCCCGGCGCCCAGCAAGGACTTCTATCAGATACTTGTGGATCGAATGAGCATAGTTTTTAGATGGTGGAAAATTTTGAAGTGAATTTCGTGAAGCAAGACCAGGAGAACTCAAATAGCCTATATCTTTGGACCAGGAACTCTGGATCATATCTTCAATTTGTGCCAGGGTAAATTTGATTTCCTGGCACGACTTCCTGACCGATTGCTTCTGTGCATCGTGGCCTATTTGGATCTTGAAGATATTTGCCGGCTTGCTCAAGTATCTCACAGATTTGAAAGGTTATGCAACTCTGATGCACTGGGGGAAATGATTGTGCAAAATTTGTGTGGTCATACTACTGAAGAAATGACAACACTGGCTCGTGAAATGGGCTGGAAAGTCCATTTTTAGCTAACAGGCAAAATACTTTCTCTAAAGAAGAAGGCCTAAGTCTCTGGGGTGAGCTGATCAGCTGGGACTCCCTTGCAAGGAATTCCCTAGGGAGTTCATTGCCGTGACAAAGTTCCCACAGTTGTAGATTTCCAGGTAAACCTGAGGTAGGTGATAGAGTAGTGCTTAATGCAAACCACCTGCAAATGAGCTCTAGCTTTGTAAGAATGTTACTTTTTCTCCCAGGAAACTCACTTAAAAGTGCTTATTTTCCCTTTGCTTGTTGAAAGTTACCCTAATTTCTGTTTACACTATCTTAATTTTCCTGCTTTTGTTAGTTGACAAATTGAGTGTTATCTGTTGGTATTCTCTTTGCTACCATTCCCCCCCCCCCTTTTAGAACAAGGGTTGCCAAATCCAGGATACCTGAAGAACAGCTTAGTGGCTTTCAGGGATATTTGTCCCAGATCCTCAATGTCTATAATTTATTATTTATTGACTTCATTTATACCCCACCTTTCTCCTTAATGACCTCAAAAAGTGGTGTACTTCCTGAGGTGATTTTGCCAGGAAGCAGACAGGGATAGTTGATGGCACTCTCTTAATGAGTCCACAAAAATCTGGAACAGACTCCCTGCTCAGGGCTCCCCCTCCGCTGAGTAAGAGCATATAAGAACACTAGCAAAGCAGGTTCCCTATTAAAAGATTAGGTTCAGGGTTTATTTAGTTAAAACATTTCTGTACTGCCCCCCCCCAATAGGGTCCCCAAGGCAGTGAGCATCAAAATATTAAATCTTTTCAACATTAAAACATTTAAAATAAAGTATAGCAAAGGTAAAGGTTCCCTTGCTCGAAAGCCAGTCAAAAGCCAAAGCCGAAGAGCCAGCGCTGTCCAAAGACATTTCCGTGGTCACCAAGGCGCACGGAACGCTGTTACCTTCCCACCGAAGTGGTACCTATTTATCTACTTGCAATGTGTGTGTGTGTGTGTGTGTATATATATTATTGTGTGTGTGTGTGTGTGTATTATATATATATAATGCCCTGACCTGGATAGCCTAGCCTGGCCCAATCTCGTCAGACCTTGGCAACTAAGCAGGGTTGGCCTCCAGGGTTGCTACACAGGCGTAGGCAATGGCAAACTACCTCTGAATGTCTCTTGCCCTGAAAACCCTATGGAGGTTGCCATAAGTTGGCTATATGTATGTATATATGTGTGTGTTAGGGTTGCCAGGTCCTTACTGTTTGCCAGCGGGAGCTCCAGGCTGCTCTCTTGGATCTCCCGGAAGTGACGTCATCATACTGGGCATGTCATGATGTCACCATAGAGTTTTTAGCTAAATGCTAGAGTGTCCCCTGCACGACGTGCCCAGCACGATGATGTTACCTCTGGGTGATGTCATCACGCCAGGCATGTCGGGCGTGGCGTGGCTCTTTGGGGGCGGAGCTAGCTGGCCGGCGGATAAGGGACCCCAAAATTGGGGGAACCTCTGCCCCCATTGGGGGGATAGCAACCCTACTGTGTATGTGTATGAAAAAACGTGAACAATGTGAAGAAATTCATTTTTTCTTTGGAGGTTTGACATGAGCAAAACCTCCTCTCTGAGTTTTAAAAGGTTTTTTTCTCTGGACAGAGAACAGGCAGAAAGGGGAGGAAGTCAGTTCAACAGCCTTTCAGGCTCACCTCAGCTACCTCTTAAGAAATACTAATGGGTCTAGCTAGAGACAGTGGGGTGGGTCAAGGTTTCCCCCTTCTCCAAGCAGGGAACAAAGTTGGAGGACTTCAGACTAGGGAGGCTCCAGGAATAATCTCCAGGGAGGAGCAGCAGGAAACACTTATCTGACCTGGGCTGATCTGGTCAGTAGGTGGGGAAAAGAAAGGTGATAAAACTCAGGGGAGCAGGGAGGAAGGTCTCTTTTCCTTGAATGCTGCATCCAGGAGAACACACAACCTCTCTCACTGGGAAGTCAGCCATTGACCATGTGCTCGCCTAAAGAGCTGTAGCAAGCTGCAAGGTAAAGGCAACTCTGTAGAGAATTGTAACTTTCTAAGCTTTTAGGAGCATATCCTATTTTAACA